AAAGAGCGTCATGACAGCCCAATCGCTCGATATTTTGCATCTAGAAAAAAACACACATGAGCATCTCATTTGCAAAGTCCTAATGACGATATACATACCATCAAGACCCGCCAGCCCTTTCCGTCCATTCATAACCAACAACTGCCACAAGTCGCTCGACTTTATACCCGTCCATAACACATCCAAAATACGTATCCGAGGCCGAGAGAGTAAACTCGTCGCCAAATCTGTTTTTTTGGCAGGCCACGCGATCATGAGAGATACCAGGAACTGGCATACGGGTTGTAAAGTAGAGTCGATGGATCGAAGGATGGGGTCCAAATGAGTTGGAATGAGGAGGATCTCAAGGTACTTTTTGAGACGGGGGTCGATGGGAATAGACGGTTTTGTCTCGTTATAATCGTCGTCATCGTCATTATCATCGTCGAGGTCAGATTGGGCTGCACCTTGCATGGAATGGAAAAATCGGTTCGGGAGGTGCTGAATCAGTGTTTGGAGCACGCAAACATACGACGCCTGTCCCACAAAATAGAGGTATCAACAAAAAAAAGCATTGTACAAACGATAGAAAAGGCGCCTTACCAAATCCTCTGGCCCCAACATGCCAATCCTCTGCTGCCCAAACGCCAACACATTTCCCAAAAGCGCCGCATACGGATTCACTGTCGATTCGATCGCCGCAATATCATTGTATACTCGCGTATCAACGCTCAGGAACCGAATCAAGGCATCAAAGGGGAGGCGAAAGGCGTTTGCAAGGGCATCAATGCTCATGCGGTTGGGTAAGAGGTCAATGGTCAGGATCTGGGTTGAGAAATCGCAGAGGGCGGATGCGTAGGAGGCAGTGGATGCGAGGGTTGCGAGGGGGTAGAGGGTTAGTTGGGTCATGGCGGATATGGAAGGGAGATTCCTGTCTTCAATCGTCTAATTTCCATTCGTGTGCAGGTGCGATATGAGATGATAGTGACAACCCGTGCATATAGAAAGTTTTGAAGAAATATATAAAGCGACGCAAAATGACGTATCAAATATGCAAACGCGGTTAGCATCAAGTCGATAGGGAGCTCAGGACAAGACACACATACATGACAAAGAATAAACTCTCTGATAGATGCATAGAGATGGTGCTTCATCATGAGTAACGTCACATCCACTGCAAGGGTACTAGAAAGGGAAATTCCACAGTGTCAATATCATTGAAAACTATAAGACAAGCGGAAAATGCATTCGTAAGTGCGATATACTTACTCGAGTCCTGGAGCCTGGGTAGCCTTGAAGGCAGCCGCGAATGCGTCGTGGTTCAGTCCCACCTGGAGTAATGCCACCACACTGCTCACTGCCGTTCCTGCTTCGTCGAGACTATCCAATAACGAGAGGTGGTGACAGGGTGAGACAAGAGGGTAAAATGAAAGCGTCGAGTTTTCTTGTGTGCGCTCAAGCGTTTACTCTACGAATCTCTATGCTCTCTGAGCTCTCTCAGCGCGCTCCCTGTCTCCGTCACTCGCACGTCTCTAAGATCTCTCAGCGCACCTTCTCCCTCTCTCTAAAGACCCATACACACACTACAAGACCTACCCATCATGGACGCGCGCGGCAGCCAAGCAGTGCCGTAGTAATTTGACCAGGGCGTATTTAAACCATTCTCGCGTCTCCTTGTCGCCTTGCACGTACGGCACAAACAGGAAATAAAAGCCTACTCCACGCTGTGAGCAGCCCATGCATGTAACGTAGCAGAGTGATACCCTTGACTGAAAAAAAGGTATCACCCCCGGACGCAAGACAAACACACACCTTGAGGGGTCTCTCTTTGCAAGAGTTTACAGAAATCATTCAAGAGGGCCAGATCCCGCTGCGGATGATAAAAAAAGAGCAATCGCGTCCAGAGCCATCGTGTTTCTCGTTCAGCCATGCTGCCCTGCCACTCTTGTCTCTGTTGCTCCTTGACACGGAGGACACACTGCCGTGCTCTCCATGCTGCCTGAAGTGTCGTGGCACTCTTTTTGCGCAATCGTTCCCTCTCTCTCTGTTGACGCTCGAGTTGAGCCTGCTTTAATAAATCTGATTTCTGGACGCGGGCCCTAGCACCTCCTAAATTGATTTGCTTTTTGCTCTTGAAATCGCCCTCGAATGAAAACATGATGCCGCTGCGAACCAAGGACAGGGAATGACAAATACCGACAGACAAGTGGATCTTGACCACCACATGTGAGTCATCCAAATGACGGATAAAGGGTTCGATTCCCTCCTCCAACGGCCGCACAAAACTGCAAAACTACTTTTTCAAATCAGATGACTATCATGTGATGTTCATGTGACAAATATCACATGATATGATGTATTGCAAATGAAGATCGGCGATCTGAACATTGACCGATGAACAACTAGTGTGATAGTAAGCAACAATAAGTGTTATTGAATGTAATTAATAGATATGAATAATGCATGCATGTGAGTGTGTGTATGAATATAAAGTGGAATGTGTGAGTGTGTGAATGTGATTGATAAAGAGAGAGAGAAATGAAAGAGAGAATAACTGTCAAGAGTATATGAGGTTTGTTGCGTGTAAGATATAAACTCACGTGTTGTCTCACTCTTGTTGTTGTCTTGTTCTTTTTTTGGTTTCTTCCGTCTTTCTCTCGCAGGCATTTGTTTGTTTTCACTCTCACTTGCACACACACACACACACACACACACACACACGGCTTATTATCAGATTCTCTTCTTCTTCTCTCACTTTTACACTTGCAAGAGAAGAGATTAGAGAACGGTTGGTGGAGAGAGGGAAGAGAGAGAAGGCTTTGTCATGGCAGACTCTTCTTCTTCTTCTTCTTGTTCCGATTCTCTTCCTCCCACTGTTTGTAGAGAACAGGAACAACCATTTCATCACTACCACTATCACCACCACCATCCTCCTCCTGTTCCTGCTCCTGCTCCTCCTCCCTGCGCATGCGTGCCTCCATACCCACCTCATTATCAGTATCCTTTTCATCATTCCCAACAACACGGCCAACTGCCTGCATACCTCGTCCAGCCGCCATCCATCCCATACGCACGCGAGTCACAACAGCCATCCTCAGTGTGTCCTTCCTTTCCCTATCACCATCACTATGGACACGTCCATGCCCACACATACGGACATGTCTATCCTCATGGATACGCACCCTTGCCCTATCATCCCTACTCGCATCATCCACCGCATACCCTATCATCACCGCGTCCACACCCAGGACACTCTTCACATGGCGATTCACAGAGTGGATCTCTGATTGAATCCCATAACGCCCGTGACGGGAGTGACAGACTACCACCAAAGAGTAGAGCTCAGATGGATCAGTCAGATCCGCCCAGTGACACAGTCCCGTCAAGAGGACCCGAAAAAGATGACTCGACGTCATCATCAACTACCGTATCAAATGGACACACATCCAATCAACAATCGGAAAAGCCCCAAACCGAGGCTGATCGATCCGATCTGGAAAACGGTTCTGGACACTCACCCAATGGACATGACAGGGATTCGGCATCGAGTGGACACGCACCGAGTGGACATGATAGGGATTCGGCATCGAGTGGAGGAGAGCCGAGTGGACCTGTGGTGACCAAGCAAAAGGGACCAGCGCCGAATGGACACGACACGACGACAATTGCATCAAACACACACGCCCCTCCCAAACACTCGCGAAAACTCCGTCTCTTTATTGAAGAACCCGCCTCCGCCTCTCTCGGTCCACGCAATACAAGCACCGGCAGCAGCACCAGCAGCCCTACCCCAAATCCCAAAAGCGGCAACACAAGTAGTGGAAGCGCCAGCAGCAGCAATCCTCAACGCTCTCTCCCCACCTCCTCCCGCTCCACCCGTTCCTCCCGCTCTTCCCGCTCCTCTCGATCCCTTCCGACAAACTCTTCCAGTGGCTCAGGCTCCAACGCGAGCGGAGCCGAATCCCGCCCACCAACAACCAAAACCCGAACAAAACACCGCCCACCCACAACAAAGCAGAAACCCAAACCGTCATCTTTCTTTCCAATCCCTTCTGACGATGCTGAACGGTTTGCCCAGTTGATGGTAAATTCGAGATTGGAGTTGGTTCAGCAGCCGAATCGGGCGCGTATGATTGGGTTTGGGGAAAAGGATCGGTACGTAATACTGCCTGTGTTGGTCCATGTTCTCCTCGTAGTGACATTTTTGTTTTTTGATAATGTGTTTGTGGATACGTAGACGACCGATAGGTACCCGTCTTTTTCTTTGTAAAACTGTTCGTATAGGCACTTAATCTATCCATAGACCCACCCCCCATTCTCCAACTCCTCCTCTCGGACCCCACTCAAGTCAGGTAAATAACCAATGAACCACGTTTACACACTCCCGCAAGATTAACACGTCTTTTTCATAGCCACACGTCTGCCCCACACCTCATAGCCCACGCCTCGCTCTTTTCCGCACATACGCCCGAAAACCAAACCATCATTCTAAACCCCTTCACATCAACTCCAACTCCCGTTCTGGTCGGCTCCCTCGTCTCCCCCTGCCACGTCCTAACATCCCCAACAGGCACACCGGGCCTGTATTTTGTATTCAGTGATTTGAGTGTTCGTATATCCGGGGAATTTCGGTTAAGGTTTTTGGTGTTTGATGTGCGGGTGCCCTTCAATGGACGGGATGTTTTTAGTGAGGTTTTTCGAGTGTTTCATCCGAAAGAGTTTCCTGGGGTTTCTGGTAAGTGCTTTGACAAGGGTGTTTAAATTTTTCTTTTTTAGGTGATAAGTATCAGTTGTTGATTTCTTTTTCTTTTTTCTTTTTTTTACGCTGCTGCACTTGTTTCTGGTTTATGCTGTTTGGTATGTTTTGTAGAGTCTACAGTTCTTTCAAAATGTTTTTCAAAGCAGGGTGTAAAGATCCATGTCAGGCGGGATGGTAAAAACGAATAAGAAAAAATCTGTTTTTTTCTGAGCAAATTGTTGGCTTCTATCGGTTATTCAATGGGATGCCGAAATGCCATTCTCGCCTTGTGCAAAAAATGTATTTTTTTTTGGCAAAAACGCAAGGTTGGACGATTGCATATATAGGATGAAAATACCGTCCAAAAGACCTTTCCAAAACACATTGGTTTTGCTTGCGGTTTTGTTGTTTATGGCCAAGTACACTCATCGTACTCTGCAAAATAACGAAGAACCTACTCGCGAATCAATGTACACATAGTTTTGCGTACTTTCAAACCTTTCACTAAACGCAATGATTCGTAGAATATACTTGAGTGTCGAGTAAGTATGAACAAATGGACGAAACCTATGAAATCGGACAAGGAAAATGTTGGACAGTAAACTCTGAGCACTAATATTTTTAGGTTTTTGCATGTATGGAAAATGCATCATTGCTTTATGAACAAACATCATGTGGCTTAAAAGTGTCCGTTTGCCCAAACTGGACTCTATCCGACGACGATATGAAATAAGTCATGTACCTAAAACGCTCAGGTTGCTCTCTGGAAACAAATACGAAATACATTTGTTTGATAATAACCGAGACATGTCCATTCTGGCATAACAAAACAAGATTTTTTCTTTGACCAGAAATCGGGGTTCAAAAAGTTTAACATCTGCAGCAGTCAAGTGTCATTTTGGAAGCACCCTCCGATGAACCTCCGACCCTGCATGACATAATCACCAACCTCGCCACGCTACTCAGCCCCCCCTCCTCTCCATACAGTCCTGTACATCCAGTTCACGTCTTTCAGTGTTTTTCTTGTCCAAAACTTGTGTGCATCACAACAACCACATCCAATGCATCGCAACCTCCCCACCCTCCTCCTCGCCGTCCTCCTCGTCCTCCTCATAACCCTCCCACAATCCCTCACAAACCCCACCCCAATCCCAATCCCAACACCAACACACAAAACATCAGAAACCCCTCCAATAAAATGCACAAAAAACTATTGCGGATGCTACATTGGCTACTGCTGGAAACGCACACCCACATTCAACCGAAACCGATTCTCACCCCATAAATTCTGTTTGGAGGATCGAGATTGTTTATTGGGGTGTTCCAATGGATGGTGTTTTGTCAATGAAATTTTTTATCCGAATGAAGAGAGGGTTGATTTAAGGTGTCATGTTGATGAGGATTGTTTTCATTATCGGAGGAGTTTGAGGGAGTTTAGGAGGAGAGGGGTGCGTGTTGGTGAATTTGTTTGAATTTGGGTGTTGGGTTTGTGTTGTTGTTGTGTCGTGCGGATGAGATTGGGATGGACCATAGGGATATAAGGACATGTACTATGGAGATTTTCCTATATCCATAGACGTTCAACACGTTTGATTCTGGATGCTTTTTCTTGTAAATGTCGTCAAAAACAATCTACACCCGCTCTCATCCTCACATCTTGAAACAATCATTTGGAATAGAAACCCAAAACTCCAAAACACGTTGAATAACAAACATGCACTGCAAGTGTCAAGTATTTTCTCGAATAGTATTATTATCTAGTCGTTTAAGTTGTTGTCCTCTTTAGTTGATTAGCGTATGGACGTTATGCAAAAAATAACACTATCAACAATTTCAGAGCATGCATTCCCATGCGATGATGTGGTCTATCAAATACCAAGTGTATAGCGGATCAATCTCCACACCGTAAGCTCATCTCCCTTCAACGCCCGAAAAAACCATGTCCAAGAACAGTTGATACATGAACGCGCATAATGGAATGCGACCTGCTTCAACCTTCCCTCCAAGCTCTTTTTGTTGTTGATTCAAAATTCGTCGAAAATAACCGGGAAAATCACACTTGTTCAACAGACTGAAAAGTATATAGCAAATAGTGTTCCGATTTTCCATATCCAGTGTTGTATCGAGCCACAACTTTGTTTAAATCCCAAGAAACAGCAAAAACCAACCGGATTTCAAAAAAGCTCTATATAAATCCTTTCCTACTCATCCAAACCCGACATCACACCCTCCATAATTTCAACGCAACAGAAACAACCCCTTCCACACTCTTAATTCAACTCCCCAACCTCCCTCTCACACTCCCTCCTCTCCATCCCCGGATCAGACAACCTCCGCCGTCTCCTACTCCCCTCTTGCTTGACTTCACTCCTAACCATCCACCTCGCAGCCCCATTCCAGCGTCCCCGATCCAAATATCTAGGCGGTAACGGCAAAAACGTCACAGGACTCTTGCTACCCACAAAAACAGGTTCAACGACACTAGGTTGCACGGGTATATCCCACCCCGCCAATCGATACAAAAATGGGAGGATATTTTTACGGTAGATGGCTTTGAGGGTTCCTTTTAGGATTGTGAGTGAGGCGTATAAAAGGAGGATGGGGATGCTGAGTGTGAAAATGTAGGCGGAGATTGTGACGGAGATTAAGAAAAAGGGGATGAGAGGCGTCGTGAGGAGGAGGAGGGAGATGGAGGATGAGAGCTCGCTTGTTTGCATTAATGTTTTGTATAAATGTATGTGTTTTGTCGTCAATGCAAACCAACTTGAGATGCTCGACGATGCTCAAAGAATCTAAACGACTCCCAGATGAGCTTCTCGCAACATCACATGACCTAGCTGAGTCAGCCATCGCCAAACCCCACCCATCGCCAAAAACACAAACAGAGCCCAACTCATCACACACATTTCAAAAAATGACTACACTCCCCCGTACATCCTTTACACATCCACTCAACCTCACGCCCCTCCTCCCAACAACACCCCCATCACCCCCCGAAGACCTATTGGACCATCTCGCGAAATGCAGTGACTTGAAAGATGGGGGTGGACTCTTTTTGAGTTCGTGTCCTGGTAAAAAAGTTCGACTAAATGGGCCGTTGCATGGTCGTGGTAATCAACATTAAATACATTTGAAGTGTTCTGTATGTATATTAACCGTTTTTTTTTAAAAGCCATGATAAATAGGGATTTACCAACCGATTTCGTACGACTTGTATCTTTTCGTATTCAATTGATTGTTTGGTAAGGTTTTCTTTGCAAAATTCATTTCCTTTCATTACATTGTTTTCCCTCATTTTCAATAGCTGTCTTAATGATGCAGAGTTATCCTACCTGGGTGCTCCATGGGCACTCTATGCAGCCACTGCACACTCATTTGGGATATCCATTCTACGGTATGGTTTTTACGATTTAGAATGTAACGACAAGATACTGATCTTGCAAAAGTAGACTTCCGATGCTGGAAGGATCCGTTCCATCGAGTTTTGAGGAAATGGATCTGGTTTTGCAGAGAGTATCTGAAGAGATTCGGCGTGGTGTGAGGGTATTATGTCATTGTCGAGGAGGTAAACTACAACACCAACAAACATTTCAAGTCCAAAAAAGAGTAACGTCTCACGAAATGTTTTATTGAAATGTATAAAAAGGTGTAGGTCGGGCGGGAGTCTTGGCATGCTGTTACTTACTCCGCAACGCATACATTCGGACACCCTTACGAGCAATCACGTACGTACGAGCCAGAAGAAGTCGAAAGGCGATTGAAACGGTTCGACAGGAAGAGTTTGTTGCGGGGTATTTCGAGTGGTGGAAAGCGCAGAACACGTCTTGAAAAAACAAAGAACCCCCAGATAGCGGTGTGAGGATACAAATGATTCGGACTCCCTTCATTCAAGGAAAAAGTCATCTCCCTCTTCCTCTTTTTCTGATTCCTCCACTGCATCCTCCTCCTCCTCTTTGGAACTCTCCCCAAACACATCTCGCCCTCGCAACACCTCCCCCTTTCCAAACCCCCCATTCCGCACCCGCCCCGAAACAACCTCCCAAATCCTCTTGCGCCGCGCATCCGTCACAGGATCCTGCATCCCTTCTTTGGGAAACAAGGAAATGTACTTTAAATCCGCCGGATAGTGTATTGTATAGGCAAGGTTCGTCTCGGCTTCGTGGAGCGCCGTCGGGTCCTTTGTGTCCTGCGTAGATAATTGTGTACGTAGGGCTTTGAGTTTTCGAGTACATTTCTTTTGTTCTGTAAAGAATACACACAAGGGATGTTAAAAGATTCACTTTATGAAATCATATTGGTTTTGTATTTCGATCAAAAGAAACGTACCCACAAACCGAATATACTTGTACTTTGCCCACAATTTCTCTTCCCGACTCGACCGCATCCGATCCTCAATCTGTATTTTCAACGCCTTGACTTTCCGTTGCAATTCCTGTTGTTGTGTCGCCGGTAGTGAATCCCTTTTCAATAACCGCTGAGCATCTCGTACTTGTTTTCGGAGGGTGGAAAGGGATTCGCTTGTTTTGGGTGTGAGGTGATGTCCGTATTTTCTTGCGAGAGGATTGGGATGTTTTTTTGGTTTGGGTTTGGGTTTTGTGGTTGTGCTTGTTGGTGGGGGGTTGCTTGTGGGTTTAGGTGGCATGCTTGTAAATGAGGACAAAAAATGAAAACGAAAAAGAATGGAAGGTAAAAAGCCAAGGACTGTTGAAAGGAGTCGTTGAACCAAAAATATTTAAAACCAGGTTCCAATGATGTTATGTCAGCGCGTTTTGGGTGTGCAGATCACCATCCTTGCGAACAGGTTTCCTTGTGTATGCTCGTCTATTAAAAAACGCTACTGCTTTCATGTACATGTCTGTGGAAAGACGGTAGAAATCATGCAGGTGAGCCCCTGCACATTCTGAACGATTTTCAAAACATCGTGTTCGCCAGTACCCCGCGATTTACGCTTTTATCTGAACCATCTCGCCTTTCATCATAGATCACGCAAGTTTAAACAAAATCCTTTCAACACGTTATTTCAACGCCATGCCTGCAAAACAGTACTCTGCAGGTAACGACCCCTTCTCCTTATTACACACTATTACACACTCTGTCATCCAAACCAACTAAAACACTAAATCCGGCGAATAAATACCATAACTAGACTCCAAAACGGATTCCCTCCTCACCAAACGACATGTCTTGACTTGCCCCATCACACCCGATACCTTACGATCCCGATTAAAAGTGTACAAGCAAAACACCAAGATTGGAAGCAAGGTTCAAAGGTCATCCCAAAATTAAAGTAATCTTCAAAGCTAACACAACAAGCAAACGCCAGATCAAATCCCTCACCCGCATCGTCAAACAAAATCATACATCTCATACTCTCCGTCAGCATCGTCGTATCTGGGAATCAGAGTACGAACGACTAGAAACAAGCCGGTATTGATCAACCCACCTCCACCATTCAACACCCATTTCTTAGTTAACACAAAAACATTCAGAACCGCCCTAGAACGATCCGCTCATGATGCATTACGAACCTTTCTTTCCCTATCCGACCCACACGAGTCTTTGCACACCATGACAGAAATAATAGATACAATCCAAGACCTCGACACCGACCGAGAAGAATGGTTTAAAAGTAAAACCGTCGTCATAAATTGCTTCTAGTGTACGTAGTTTTTAACATTTCGCACAAAAAAGGTCTTTCAACACCCGTTATGACCACTGTCAAGTGTCTCAAATCTGCCAAGGACCCTATACGCCGAAAAGAGTGTTTAGAGCTGTTAAAATCTACCCAACACGGAATAGAGCAGCGTCAACAAGAGGTATGCCCTCCATTGTGTTGCATATCAATACACGGTTTTCACTTCATATCTATTATATCGTATAGCTCATAACTCAGTTATCCACTCTTGATACACCCGATACAACCAAATCACCTTACGAAGACCTTGATGATCTCATCCTAAACCCATGGACAGAGTACGCCGGACACATTGCCCCCTTTTTGGATATCCCCTGCATAGATCTAGGCATCCAAGAACAACAACGCAGCATCTACAAAGAGTAATACCAGAAACTCCTTGTTTATGTTGCAAAAAACGAATATCTTACACCCATTAGGTTCCTCGACACATTTTATACTCGTCTTCAGGACCTGCGAGATGCAGCTGGAACAGACCACTTGGTCCATTTAGACCCCTCCAACCGTCTCCGGATTCGTAAAATTGTCCAAGAGTACATGGCGACTACACACCCTCATCGCTGGACACTCTGCTTGGACCGTTGTTCCATTGAATTACCCCAACTCGATCGCAATGTTATCCAAGTAAGTCCCCCTTCATATCCCATTATTTGTTTTCGACAAAAACTTTATTTACATAACCAACCCCAGTCCCACGCCCTCCACATCCACCAAACCCTCCACACACCCTCAACACTTAAATCCCTCAAAACAACCCTCCAAACCACACTCACCCAACATATTTCCGATACATTAACCCTCTACACGCAAGCTACCATAGACCACCATCGGGCTCTTGTCGCTGAACAGGAAACTCAGGACCGTATGGAGCGGTTAGAGGATCTTCATGCAAGAGTGCGTACATGGCGACATCAGAAAATGGAGCAAATTCGACATGACATGCGTGTTGAGGAGATTCGATTGCGGAACCAAGAGGAGCAACGGCTTTTATTGGAGGTACACAACAACAACAAAACGATACAGCACAATTATGTATCTTAACGAAAATAATAAACGTGTTTGGGTTAAATAGGAACAAACCCGTCAAACCCGCCAAAAAACCCAAGAAATGCTAAAAACCTACCACACAAAAAAACATCAAACACTCCTCTCCCAAATCCAAACCTCACTAGACCTCCAAGAAGCGTATACAATCGAAACCCTCCATCGCATTCAAGTACGTCTACTCCCAATCTCATTTCCAAAACCTCTCACTTACACTTTGCAAAGTACAATCAAACCCGCATACACCACCGCCAAACCCTCCAAACCCAAAAACAACTCTCCAAAGCCCACCAAACTCGTCAAACACATTTAGAATCTCTGAAACTCCAAGCACGTTTAGATGCCCTTCGCGCTACAGTGGCAGTTCAGGCTCAGAGTGATTGGACGAGGATTTGGGGGAATACGGAAGCGTGGACACATTTTCTAAAGGCTGAGAAATCTGTTTGTGTTTTTGTATTTCGGTTTTTTCTTTTTTTTTTCGGTTTTTTATGTATTTGTTTATTTTTATTAAGAAACCCTTGTATAATATTCCCGGATACACATCTCAAGACCTCCTCAAAGACCCCAGGTAAGTTCCCTCCAAAACATCTCCTTCCTTACCCCCCTCTCACGCTCTTACCTCTATACTCTAGACACAAACTCTCACTTGCGTTCGCTGATCATGGCCTTTCAAGTACCCCATATGCACGCTCGATGCTTTGTTCCATGGTACGCGAACCGTTACGTGCCGACCAGAAATCTGTGATTAGGTTAGGATGATCATGTTTGAATTGGAAAATATAAAAGAGAACTACATGGACGCTCTTCATGGGCAGTGTACTGTAAAAAAGGATGGAATGCGTTCTTTTCCGTTTACCTGGTTATACTAGGAATCCTGATACCATTCACCTCTTACCATACGACAGCGACATAAAATAGAACGTCCGGACCCAAACCCCACGCCTCTCATAAATTCAAAAAAGAACCCCACGCAGCAAAAATATTAAACAAGACTATAAAGCCCACACAACGCAAACGCAAAAGGGAACATAGGATGCAAGCTACAAGAAAAAAAAACAACAATACTAGATGACAACATATAAAAAGTATCGCTACAAAACAAAACAAAAAAAAACATCCTCAAGACAAAATCCAAAGTCAACAAACAACAACTAACCCCTCTTTTGTCCCAAAGCGACACTTTTTATTCCATTGTCCAATTCTCTTACGCCTTTCATCCCAACGCCGTCAAACAAGAGGTAGTACGCAGAAGTCCACCACATGGCAATAAAGACAAACCACTCTCACATGAAATACATGACTTTAGTCAACTCCTCCTTCACAACGCCGTAATTCATCATTCGCACCGCACCCTCCTTCACAGCACACTTTTTACCAACCCCCGCCGCCGCTGGCGCCACCACAGGAATCCCATTACCATTCGGCACACCAATCATACCACCAAGAGGGACAGCAGCCACATTCGGTACAGTCTGGGCGCTCCCATTGCTTGACACACTTCCTTCACTTGAACTCTCACTCCATCCTTCGCCCGTTGCGTGGAATCGCGCTCGAGCAGCAACCAAATGCGCGTAATAAGCGGGTGGACATACGGAAACACTTCGCGTGGCACGGCAGTACAGGTAGCAGAGGCGGTAAGTAAGCTCTTGGAGCGCGTCGGGGGAAAATCGGTTCTCATCATGCAGCACGTGGTAGTGAGTGGGTTTGGACGTCCCTTGGAGACCCGGATGCGAGCAGAGGTAGAAATCGAATTCGGAGGGATGCGTCACACCCGTTTCAACCACTGTCCCTGGCAAGACATTTCCACTCCGGTCCGAGTCCTCCTTTCGGATCGGGAAAAATCTTGCATGATGACGTTTTTGAACAACGACAAACGTCACAGTCGGTCTGTACGTCGGTTCGAGAGAGACACAGGCCCTTCGGATAGCCTCTACCTCGCATCGCAAAACTTCAGCAAACTGTCCCTCAGATACACCATCCCGATAAAAGACAATACGCTCTGGCTTGGCTCCGCAGGTCTGGTAAAAGGTCTTGAGGAGCTCAATCACCATGCCTGAGAGGTCCTGGATAACTTCTTGACGTCCTTTCTGGACACGGATCGCCGCGGCAAACCGTGAGCATTGTGCATCCATGGATCCAACAAGGGCCGCAATCGATTGGTTGGAGGCAGAGCCAGGGGCCGGATGCTAAAAAAATAAATTTAGAACTTGATGTTCAAGACCGTAGAAGAATACAATACCCACCGTAACATCTGCCCCAAGAATAATGGTCGGCCGCTCACTCACGAACGGCAGTTGAGTATTTGACAAGTAACTGTTCATACCACCCAGCTTAACATTCATCTTCAAACATACATTCGCGCAGTATTGCCTTTTGGCCGCAAACATGTGCTTAGCCTGTATACACTGTGTGGCGACTCCAATAATGGTGTCAGACACCCGTTTGATCTCAGCGTAAAGTGGCACACCCGTGTTGGGCAAGATGCACAGAACCATCTGAGGACGCTCCTGGAAGGAATTTCCAGCTAACATGTAAGCATCAATCAGAGTCTTCTCCACATTGCCCAGGGGGTTCGCGTAGGAAATTGGGGGTTGGCGATTCTGAATGAACACACCACACTCCTCGCAGGTTTGCACGAGAAGCGTGACAAACTTTTGAATGGCAGCGACAGGGTAATCAGTTTCCTGACCAAATGCAATCACAGACCAGGATCGAACTGTAACACCCTGAGCAACCATCTTGTCGCGAAGGTTCCAGGCTCCCTCCCGAGGAGTGATGACGGGCTCTTTTGAAGCTGGGTGGTAAGAAATAGCGGGAGCAGGTAGTACACGTGCATTGACAATTGTCATTTCATGACCAATCTGCACACCAAACTCGCGGAGATAATCATTGTCTCTTTGCTGAAGAATGGTAATACCGGCTGAAATCTTATTGGATCGAACGTGAGGTGGCTGGCAAGTGAACTTGATCATTTCCGCCGTCTGCAGGTGGGTAGCGGTAAGTACTGAGCCAACGGTGTCATGAACAAAGTATGCGAACCTGGCGCTCATTCAATTTCCTCAAGTGTCTTTGACCGGGCACAATGTCACAGACCTCCATTGGTAGGAATACCTGTCGTGATGGGTCACCAACAACAAGGCAGGGGAGGTGAGGAAAGTACAGCTGGTGATTGTACTTGGCTTGGAAATATCCAGCAACAGAGTTTTCGAGACCAGTGCTCTCCAGGGAGAACATGGTACGGTTAGCGGGGGTGGATGTGATCTTTGTAATTCGGAATTTGCGGCGGATCTGTCCACGATGGGTGACGACAATCTTCAGTCCTTTCAGCACCTTTTCTACCTTCAGTCTGTCCCGGTCACTTAGTGGTGCACGTAAATCCGCGCCACTGTGTCTACCAAGAATCTTGGCGACCATCTCAATAACAGGGCCTTGGAAAACGAATGTCAGCTTATCGCTTACATTGAAATTATCTAGTTGAGTATTTACCAGGCTGATAGAAGGCTGTTGCAGATACATCCAAATTGATTAGCATCTGCCCCCGGGTTGGCCTGATACTTTGATGGAACCCTTGCCACAACTGGGCACCATTGGCAATACTCGCAGCGGAATCCGGCGTATAGAAGCACCTTCCAATTGTGGTGTAAGTAAGGGAAGGACGGTGACGGAGGAGGATATCAAGAGCCATAATGGCGTCATTCGGCGTGTCAGCTAGTCGCCCATCGAGGAAGGCTGACAATTTCTGCATATTTATTTCGCCAACCTTTTTGATGATCAATGTGAACTTTTTCGGCCCGCGCCTGAAAATGACACCAATCAGAAGTTGTCGAATCCATCGAAGCCGGTAGTGTGATGCAAATAGGAGCAAAAACGTTGCAAGACTCCAAGAGGAGTAAATGCAGCATCGGTCGTGTGCTGTACTTACTTTTTACTATCGTCATCGTCAAAATAATCAATGTTAAACGCCACTTCCCCCGGAGCAATGGGTAGCGCTTTAGCCGCAAACACATTCTTTCTTCCATCAAACACAGGTCTGATACCGTTCAACGCCCCGCTCAATAACTGTTCGTCCTCCCACAACTGATAAATTCTCCTATTCTTTGCTGGCGGGACGTCGGGAGTAATGTTGACATCGTAGTGGTGGATATTCTGCCCGGGAAGGGTCATGACAGGGAAAAAGTTTGCTCGCACTTGGATGTTTCTCCCAGAGGCTCCAACTCCTGGGCGTGGAGGGAACCGCCATGTCGTCAATGCAGTTGAGGCAGACATGGTACACAACCAGGGCTTATTGACAAACGGAGGATAGCCGAACTGTAGAACAACTGACGCAGTGCGTGCAACAGCACACGGACTGGCTAACGAACTTGGAGTTTGAGAGAAACGGTTTTCTTGGAATTAGGTTGGCCCTTGACCAATTCTTGGGAATCGCAAAAGCAGAGTATGGGCGGTTTTGACACTGCTTTGTGAGCACGGTGAAGCACAATGGACTAGCACTTGCAATACCAAAAGGACGACGAATGACACAGCAAGAGTTTTCCTTCCTTTCTCCAATGCCAGATTTCGCCCAACAACCGTTTACCCCCTTTGTGAGATCCCCCGTTGGCTGAAGAAAGAACAAAAGGAGTTGAGTCGCTTGCGTGGGAGCGGCCCTCGTTGATCGTTGCTGTGCCGTCCTATTCAATGACTGTGCCACTCACTTTGCTCTGTCAAAAATGGGTTTGGAGGAGAGTCCCACCGGACAGAAATTCTGACTTTTATGGTTATATGAGTTGTAGGCATATGCATAAGCCACTTGTCGCTTTGCACTGCCACTTCCAACCAGCTGCAGAGTGTGTTTTGGCACAAGGACCACATGGTGTCGAGCGTAAGTCCATTAATGGAGACGATGATGTAGGGACGTTGCATGAGTGCTTGATGACATCCAAACTAAGGAATTTTTCTTGATAGTACTGATAATATGCTCATGATCGCAATGCAGAAAGTTGGGAAGCTCCCGCCAGGGCAAACGACGGAGGAAATGTGTGCACTTGACCCACTTGGCAATCCGTAAAGTCTCCATGCTCCCAAGAGAGATAATAGGCGGCAGACCCCTATGGGGAATCTGCACTTGTACTCAGACAAATGGCTTATTCAATTGGCAAGATCGCTGACATAAGCAGGATGATAAGTCAAATATCACCAAGAGGCTTAGTAACTGCGAACCACATCATCTAATGGTTTCAACAACCGAGGGCACCATTTCTCATTGCAGCTCCGTCGATCTCACCCAACATCAACGCAACAACAATTTTCACTTTCCTCTCCCTCATCGACAACCTACCAACTTGACGCCCAGTCACTTGTAAGCGCACGCAATGGTATGCGAGTTAGCTCCAATCAACACGCCGCGTCCTGGCCCAAACCTTGATGCTTGATGACGCGTCCTCATTTGCTCGCTGTTTAGGGTCAAAACCAGTCGGGTCTGCCTGGCGGTCCTCCCGGCGGGGATAAGGGAAAGGATGCAGACAAGGATAAGCAAAAGGAGAAGAAGAAGTGGGAGCCCCCGATTCCGACGAGAGTAGGCAAGAAGAAGAGAAAGGGACCCGACGCGGCCCACAAACTGCCTCCAGGTTAGTTTTGAGATAACACCTCTGCTCAGGGAAGAACGTAAAAGAGCACCGTATGGTGGAGCGTTGTATCGTTTGCCATCTTGATGACGACTGCGATCCTAACTCATCTGTTCGGGCAGTGTTCCCAACCACACGTTGTAAACTGAAGCTTTTGAAGATGGAGCGCATCAAGGATTATCTATTGATGCAGGAGGAATTTGTGATAAATCAAGAACAGCTGAAGCCTCAGGAAGACAAGGCACAGGTATGGCTGCGCCTTTAAATTTCAGTTTCCGGACCATGTAATTTAACTTTATATCTCCAGGAGGAACGCTCCCGAGTAGATAGTCTCCGAGGAAGCCCAATGCACGTTGGCACTCTCGAAGAAATTATTGACGATGACCACGCAATCGTGTCTGCGTCAACTGGCCCAGAATACTATGTCAGCATCATGTCTTTTGTGGATAAGGATGTCCTTGAGCCAGGGTGTTCTATATTGATGCACCATAAGGGGCTCTCTGTTGTGGGTGTACTTGCTGATGATACCGACCCAGCTGTGAGCGTGATGAAGGTCGAGAAGGCGCCCACCGAATCATATGCCGATGTTGGCGGTCTAGAACAGCAGATTCAGGAAATCAAGGAAGCTGTAGAATTGCCTCTGACACATCCGGAATTGTATGAAGAGATGGGTATCAAACCACCAAAGGGTGTGATTCTCTACGGAAGTCCCGGCACTGGTACGTTATCTGCGCATATTAGCTCAAGCAATAGTGCAACGTGTTGATAACCTTCGTTGGATAGGCAAGACGCTGCTCGCCAAAGCTGTTGCGAACCAAACATCTGCAACTTTCCTGCGTATCGTTGGATCAGAATTGATTCAAAAGTACCTCGGCGACGGACCAAAATTGGTTCGTGAGCTTTTCCGCGTTGCTGAGGAACATGCTCCTTCGATCGTTTTTATTGATGAAATTGACGCTGTTGGAACGAAACGGTATGCGTCAAATATGGCGGGGCTCTGAGAATCCATAACTTAACCAGGTGGATACATTTGTAGATATGATTCTACATCTGGTGGTGAGAGGGAAATTCAACGGACCATGTTGGAGCTTTTGAACCAGCTTGACGGATTTGATTCTCGTGGGGATGTGAAGGTGAGAATTCCGCTGGGCGCTCACTCAAACAGCAAGTCCTAATGAGATGGGTGATTCAGGTAATCATGGCTACCAACCGTATTGAATCCCTTGACCCCGCCTTGATTCGTCCCGGCCGAATTGACCGTAAAATCGAGTTCCCTCTTCCTGATGTGAAAACCAAACGTCGCATCTTTGGCATTCATACTGGAAGAATGACACTCGGTGATGATGTCGATTTGGAAGAGTTTGTTATGGCTAAAGATGACCTTTCGGGGGCTGATATCAAGGTACGCATGTGTCTCTTTAAATGTACAATACGTGCTGTTATGTTTACCATTAGCATTTTTGCAGGCTATCTGTACCGAAGCTGGTCTCTTGGCCCTACGCGAGCGTCGTATGAAGGTGGTGGTGGATGATTTTAGGAAAGCAAAGGAGAAGGTTCTGTACAGGAAGAACGAGGGGACACCTGAGGGCCTTTACTTGTAAGGCGTACAAGCCTGTGCTGTGAAAGAATGATACATATATTTGAACAGATTTGGGACAACGGCAGAGATTTTCGTCTGCTTGACCTCTACCCAGTGCCAAAGGCATATCAGAACCCCATCCTTGCTGTTGATGTAATGCGGTCGGGTCAACTTTTGGCAAGTATAGAGGAGACATGCTACACCAGTAAGATCGGCCCAATGCTTGCTTCAATCATACGGAGACGAACAAAAACAGCCGGAATATAACTGTGAGGGAATGTAGGACTCAAATGCGTATCTTTTGTCAGTTACTCCCCGTACCCTTTTTCCTTATACTACCTATGATAATTTCCAGCAGTTTGCCACCCTATGAATTGATCCACCGTCGCCTTAGGTACATACAAATCGCAGATTTAACTATCCTTAGGAATGTCAAATATTAAATGTCTACCACCATCTCCCAAAAGCCATGAGGATCGTAAAAGCCCCCCAGACTCCCATACCAAGTACGACGCCCAATGTTTTAAGTAGTGTGTCGATACCGATCATCAACGAATCCTTTTCCACGTACCGGTGCGCAGAGCGCATGGCTCGTTCCATAATGGAGGAAATATTCCGACTTGCTTCATGAATGACAGCATCGTAGGACCGGACTTTGACTGGTCTCGATACCCCGTTATAGGCATCGACGGCCGCGATTGTCTGTCCCGATGCACCCCAGTCAACACTTACAAAGTTGACCTGGACATTCTTGTTTGTACAGGTTGATATATGGGCAGCTATAGAATCGAGTGAATTTGTTGTGAGGCGGTCATAGTAGTCGGGTTTGTAAACATCATCCATGCCATTTGATCCTTCCGCTATGAGGATGTTGAGCTGATGGTTGAGAAGGGTTAATGATCGGCGGTCGCTGCGGGGGTTAGGATAGGGTTCGCAATTGAAGAATTGTGGTTCGGGAAAATAATTTCTATAATTATTTTGGGTAACGTACATTGATTGTCGGAGTAGCCTGGTAGAGGGAGACCATTCATCAGTTCCAGTTTGCTTACCGATATCGATACCGACTTACCATGGCTGTTGTGTGATGTCACAGTGCCTATCCATGAAAACGACTAGTCGAGTGTTCGCCACAATCATGTCTTGCATGGTATACCATCGAATTGGACCCTCATCAGGCGGAACATAGACATATGGTGTCAAATGGGCCGCATCGAATTGCGATGCCATGGTATTTACGTCTAGGTTGGCAACATTTTCCAGGAATAATGTGACGATTTCGTTTCGATTTGAATCCAAAAATCGTCGAATAGTGGTAAGGAAGTTGACAAAGGGTCCGGCATCGTAGAAGATAAAAGAGTTTTCGCATTTACCTACGAAAGAATACTGTCTCAATCCTTTTGAGCTTCTCTTGCTGGTGCCAGGAACCACCTACCATGACATAAATGCACCTCACCAGTCTTATTTCGCCAAACTGCCACCTTGAAACCCCGATACCCATCTTCTAGCTGATAATCCAAGATGTACCCAGGATCTTGATTAACACCACTCTTCATTATGGTCGCCGTCGCATCCACCAACGGCGCAACTGCAAATGCGTTGTGGGTTACCGCAAAGCAGACCTCGTCATATCGTTTATGACAAAGCTCAGCAAATCCGTTGCATGTTGAGGGCTGGTAATATGGCCTAGGGGCAGGGATGGACACGGGATTGACTGGACGGAGGTGGAATATAATGAGAAGCGGAAGGAGGAGGACGCAGATATGTCCAAGCGGTGGCATTAGAATGGAGAAGGACAAAGTATCATCACGAAAGAGAAATTGAGGAGTGAGTCCTCCTTAGCGTACAATCCAAGGGAACCTCATGCTTATGACTGTGAATTCTACCGCACTACTCCCGCGGCTTCCAATAACTGTATTGATGAGGCGAGAATGCGGGTATAGATGACCGGTTTTTCAAAGTCCAATCATTGGTTTTGAACAATTGACCCTAAAATGTGATCCTCATTGTGGAAGTTCTAAATTTCAATGCAACGTGAAAGTAGCACATGTTGCCCTGGCCCTCTCTCCATTTCAACCATTCCTCAATTCCTTGTCTTCATGTCGCCGGTGTACACTCATCGACCATAGATGTCACACATAAAGGAACGGGGCATGTAACTGATGCAGTTGCAACCCACAATCAGGTCACTTATTCATGCCCTATTCTTTAGTCCTCCCGGCCGAGGCTCCCGCCATCGTGGCAGGTATCTGTGCAGCAGGTCGGGAAATACCCGTAGATCCCACGATAGTGCATAGGAATGAGGTCAAGAGATTGATGAGATCCAAATGGTAGATGCGCAGTTTCCGACAATTATATTCCAAACTGTCATTTCTATGTGGATTCCTTCACGTAGGTTACCTCCCTTGGCCGAAGCCGCCAAATTGCCGCGTCCGTCGCTTTTAGCGCGGTTGGCGCCCACCGTAGAAGTAACGAAAGGCGGAGAGGACGATGAGCAAGAGAAGCGCAAGGCTGCCGTCCAAAGGAAACCCAATGTCATGAGTAAGGTCTGTTCGCTATCACCTTGTAGTGCGGATTTAACGGTGAAAGCATAGAGAAAAATACATTTCCTTTCTCGGAAATTCGAGAGTCCACCACGACCAAGATCCATCTGAAGGTAATTTGCATAGGAGTTTGAATATTTTAGCCCAAGGTTAACCCATTTGCCCAGAATAATCCAAGTTCCCGCTACGTGCTCGCGTTTCGAGACAAGGCACATCGCGCCGATGAGCGGGCCAAAGCGTATGAAGGTACTTTTAAGTGACACGGAGCTCCAGTTTACTTGACTTTCACGGTTGATTATCCCCTTTCCAATTCCTCCTCAGAAGCCGCATGCCGTCTCGCACTGGCGAATACAAACGGTATCAATTGGAGCGTCATCAAAAATATCAGCCGAAATCCAGCCTCCTCCCAACCCATTAAAGGCCTGCGGACCTCATATGCCCCCGAAAGTCGGCCAGCAAGAACCGCACAAAGCGGAGCAATGAATCTGACGACCCCGCGACATGTGTTGCCACCACTTAGTCAAGCTCTTTCCGCAACTTCCTTATTTGTATCAGAAGGAGAGGAAAACGAAGATAAGGGCCGTTCGCCTTCCGCTAATCTGCAGTTGGTCCAAGATTCCGCTGGAAGTCTTCCATCCCTTTTGGCTAGAAGTGCCTCCTTCCAGGATGCTCAAAATTGGATGCAGGCCAATGCGCTCTGGAGACAGAAGCATTTGCCTGAACTAGGCAACGCGTTGAATGAGGATGAATATTGCTTTGGAAAGCCAGAAGGGATCGATGAGGTGCGTAAAGACATTAATTGGTTGATGTATGAAAAATGACAACCTCATGGTTTTTATTTTCCAGGATGTGGGCGATCAGTTCAATATAGCATTCAAGGAACTGACCAAACTAGGCAGTACAGTCCGGAAAAACCAACTAGACATTGAAGCGGACAAGAACTTATTTGAAGAAGATACAACTGCGGTAAATAATACCTTCATGAGCATGTCATGGCGGCTGTAGTCGTTCAATGACTCGATCATACAACTAACTAAACACATATATTTCCAGACACTACCGATTGACAGCGTCACATCGGTCACGACGCAGCGCCCGTCTATCACATCCTCTCATAATAGCACGCCGGATCCTACGGTAGCTGAAGTCTGGAAACGGAAACTCCAAGTACGACTCTCATTGAATCTGCATGAGTACAAAGATTTGCTGATTAAAATATTTTACCCAGAATCCCGCTCAAAACCATCATTCGGCTTTCGCAGCCTATCTGGACACGACACGCAAAGAACTTTCGACAACTCTCAAGTCCCGCAGCCATGACCGGTTGCGAGTATGCAAAGATGACGAGAGTGCCTTAGGGGTATTAAAACTCGCTGTGATGGACGCGCGAAACTGCACTTTGGTCGGACCGACGAGGCACTCTCATACGCCATGGGATCATGTAGTACCATACATGTGGCAAGTAGGACGATCATTCGCCCGCGGGCACTCTATCTCCTAACTGACCCGCTTCTCGAAATACAGGTACAAGGACGCCTACCCACTTGTCAAAGCCCATCTTCGTGAGCGACAGGTTGCCAAACCTTCAACACCGCAAGATCCAAAGAAATGGATGTCCCAAACCACAAATTCCGACAATGTTGTGAGACATCAGCGCATCTCGAACCTTACTTCCGCTAGAACACGCACAAATCTTCTGTTTGATTACATTACTTCGGCTCGGTCAACTGTCTTCACACCGAGTATGATGCGGAAATGTGGCAGTAAAGGAGTTCTAGAGGATAGGGATCGCAAACGGGATAGTACAAATGTGTTGGTGAATTGATGGTAGAGTAGGAGGCATTAGGTAGCATGTAGCTAGAATCAAGTAAGATGGTCTGTAAGTAGGGAGAATGTACAAGACACGGTGTATCTCACACCATAGTTTCAATTGCAAGTTTTCGAAAATATCTTTGAATTTGAATAGTTGCGACTGTAACTTTATTCAATGGCATCTCGTTTTTCTTCACTTGACTGCTGGATAGTTTCATATGAAAAAGGCTGGTGTTCATCAAACTGGCAAGGTCCGAAAAGTTATTAGAAGGTTATTGGAGTTTTCATCTTGAAATGCACCTGGTAGAGCCTCCGATGATTAACCGACCGTCTGAACGCGGGGGGATGACATCATGCTGGAAGCTAAAAACCTTGATTTGAGGCAAATAGTTTTGGCATTCATTTACGGATTGCCTGCGGAAAAATCAGTGTGTCCAGCACAAGCCCTCAAGTTCTCAGCGTAAAACACTTTCTGACGTCCCGATAAGAAAGGGCATCTCCCTCCCATTACTTACCACCCACTCAATTTCAACAACGGTCTGCGATCATGGCGGACAGGACTGCAGAGGAAGGTCGCCGCCTTTTGGGTTCTTCTGGCCGTGGAGATCGCACCGATCACACCGGCCAGGCCAGAAGTTGCATGGAATTTGCCTCAAAGCTTGCCCAAACTCGGATTGCTGAACCCATGGAGCGCAATCGTATCATCAACAGTTATGAGATCGCCGACGAAGACAGTATCAAGCACTTGCGGAAACTCAGTCGTCGTGCATGTGTCTATGGATGTCTGGCTGCCTTTCGATTGTTGCAGCAACGAGCAAACAAAAGTATACATAGAGGAGAATTGTTGAGATGCCGTGCGCTTTTTTGTCAAGTTTTGGCAATTCGACTCGTGCGTGCCATTATTCGGGACAGTAATGGCAGAGACGAGCTATTTGTGGAGGTGCTTACACCGCTGTTTAATTCGCTTCAAAATCCGGTTTCGATGGAGAGTGGTTGGTATCCGCTGGCGCTATCCTCCTCTTTCGTACCTGTCATTGTTGTATCCGCATAATGATCTCGGTTGATCTAAACAGCATTGCAAGTGGCTGTGGAAACTGACGCCGCCGAGTTCATCAACGAGATTTCTGTTCAACAATGCGTGGAGGTAACTGACCACTTGCTCTTCATTCTCAAACAAACATTCGACTGATCCTCCACCCTTCCAGTATCTTTGGAGAGGAGTCATAATACCGCAACCTCGTATGTTATGTACTGTGTCTTCAATTCAGCTTGCACCATTCCATGCTAGACATGAATTCTTGACTTTCTCTCAGAGGGTGTTCAAGATGATGACCGTGCTAATAACGATGGATACGTCCAAGTATATACTTGGCCGTCGCAAGTCAAAATGGGATGGGCAGCCTTGCCCGAAGGCCGCCTTCGCGTGCCAATGTACCAATACGCGGCAGAAACGCTCTTCAACTTCTTTTTGTTGGCCGTATACTCTTTTGTCGTCAATTATCGAACACCCGAACCCAATGGCATGGAGATCTTGATGTACCTACTGGTGGTGTCGTTTGCGATCTCGGAAGTTAAACAGTTTTGGAATCAAGGATCTGCCTTTTATTTCTTGACTCTTGTGAGTACCTCTGTATTTTGCGTGTTAGAGCTTCAGTTGCCTGACGCGATATATTTGAAGTTCAATTGCAATGACATGATCAGCATTGTCCTCTTCACTCTCGCGTTCACATTTCGCATGATTGGTTACTATCAAGGTAATAAAGAGACACTCTCGGGTCCAAACGACACATCATATGATTTGCTGGCGTGCAATGCAGTCTTCTTGTGGACACGAGGGATAAATGTTTTGGCTGGGTACGTTTCCATTTTGCGAAAGGCTTGGGATACGCGGTTCTTACCCTTCCTTAAGATTCCGCTATTTTGGCGAAATGGTAGTTATTATTCGCGCCATGCTCCGAGATGCGGCATTATTCTTTGTCATGTTCTTTTTCGTCCTTGTTGGATTCGTACAGGTATGCGCATAGACTTCTCTTTTAGCGTCCTGGGAGAGAATAATCAACACATGTTGTTCAAGGCGTTTGCAGGCCTTGCACGAGCTCAGCCGTCCGAAAGCCCTGGTTTCCTCAAGGGACTGTATATGCTCGCTAAAGCATTCTTGCAGTAAGCTCGCGCTCTTAAATTGTCTGTTTTCTGTTCCATTCTTTATATCTCTTGGTGCCTTATCGTAGAGCACCGGATTTCGGTGACGCCGAACAGATGCACGACGTTTTAGGGGCCCCTCTCCTAGTCTTCTTTCAGATCCTAGCTACCGTGATCATGTTGAACATGCGTGAGTACCTATACCGCAAACAGCAACTTCAAAGGGAGACTAACGTCTATTCTACAGTCATTGCATTCTTTAACCAGAGTTATAGCAACGTCGTGGAGGCAGCGACTCAGCAACACGTAGTGCAATTTACGCTGAAGGTGCGTTCATCGTTCCATAAGCGCAAGGCATATGAGCTCCTATATTGATGACAACGTCCATCCAAGGTGCTTGGTTTCTATCTGCTCCCGACGCAATATCCCTTTGCCCCTCCCACCAATCTTGTTGAAGTGACCCTGCTCCCTCTACCGCGTCTTATTTTACCACGACGTGCATACCTGAAGTACCACCAATGGATTTGGATCGTCGTCGCCTTCCCAATCAATGCCGTCATCGCCGCTGCAGAACACTTTTTTCCAGATCAAACGGCAGCAAACTGGAATTTAGAAGAAGATCAAGAAAAGGAGGAAGAGGAGACTGAAGAGGAAGATCAGCAGTTGTACCACCGGTCTCAAGTGGCAAAGATGAGCAACCAGGAGGGCAGGGTGGAAAAGACATTGATCCCCGGCAGCGACAATCTACCAGCGAATGAAGGGTTGGAAGAAACTCTGAAGTATTTGGTTACAGAAGTGAAGGCATTAAGAGAAAAGATTGATGAGCTCAAATCCACTGATTGAGCGCGGGTACGTGCGATGTCAGGGCATTTAAAAGGCCGTACGTGGAGGACGATAGCGTGTATCATCTTATTAGTAAGATAGTAATCTGAGAATATATACAGGGACCTATATACAGATATGTACACGAATATTAAGCGTTCATCTCTATCGGCAACTAGTCCTCTTCGTATATCATTTTGATGGTCATTCCTCCATCCAATACAAAGTTCTGTCCGGTAATAAATCCTTCCGAATCCTCCACGAGAAACCTTACCATCTTTGCCACATCCTCAGAGGTTCCAACTCTTCCTACAGGGTGCTGCTTGTGATCCTTCTCACTCAACTCTGGGGGTGCTGGGATATCCTTTAAATTGCCGTGTGCTCGCAAGACGCCCGTCACTTCTTCCGTCTGCAGATCTCTCGTGTCAATCCACCCCGGAGACACAGCGTTGACTCTTACACCATCCTTGCCCAAGCTCACTGCCAATGACCTCGTTAAACCCAATAAGCCAGCCTTACTTGCTGCGTATCCCTCGTTATTCGGCTCGCTCATCAATGCTCGCGTCGAAGCAATATTGACAATGCAACCACGAGATGCGCGGAGATGCTTGGCTGTGTAGTGGCAAAGGAGATACGCACCCACCAAGTTTACATTTAAAAACCGTGTAAAATGCTCAGCCGGGACGGCATCAAAGGGAATGTTCGGGTCCTGGCCAATCCACGGGGACGAGATGCCAGCATTATTTATTAGCGCATCGATTCCCTTAAATTTCTCTATGCTCTTTCCGACAAGGTCCGACACGGATGCCTCGTTGGCTACGTCGCAATACTGGAAAAGAGCGTGAGATTCGAGAGTTTCTGGTGGAATTGAGGCCTGCTGAGTCAAGATGGCACGCAACGTCTGGAGGGATTGGGAGTCAGAATCGGCGAGAGTCACATAATAGCCCCCAGAGAGAAAATGTGAGGCCATGTGTCGTCCTATTCCATTTGCAGCGCCCGTTATCAGGATACGTTTCATTGAGGACATTGTTGCAGAACGTTCGTCGATGCGAGGCCCCGTTGCTGGTTTTTGGGAGGGCAGTCTCCCAGTCTTACGTCACGTGTAGGGCTGCGAAGCGGACAGCTTTCGGACAGGCTTCTGTTCTGGAGTGTGCTGCTCGGCAGGCCATTACAATTAGGAGGGGAACTTTGCTGACGGTATGTAATGCCTTTGTCGTCTTTTTATGCGAGGATATACTCTTTCCGGTGATGTTCAAAAAGTCCCACACTCCAAAGACACCGTGACCCAAGCCTACTGGGATGATCTTGTACGCGATACTAACCACGATCTCCCAATCTCTTGATATCCCCCACTCCCACCAAATAGGGGATAGCTCTGCTAAATGGTGAAATCCAAAGGGAAAACCGTCTTGGAACGAAACCCTCCCTCGGAGGAAGAGAGCGATGAGGAACCAGAGACGTATGAAGTGGAGAAAATCGTTGGTTATCGGTGTCATAGAGTACGTCCCCAGGGTCCATCCGGTCTGTCTGACTCTTGCCGAGGAAACTGAGTTTTCAACCTTTTAAGGGAGTGGAGCAATATCGGATCAAATGGGAAGGATATCCCGAGGAAGACAACACCTGGGAACCCGTGGAAAACATCCATGCGACCGATCTAATCCAAGAGTACTGGAAGTCGCAAGCTAATCAAGGACCCTCTAAGACGGGTACCGTTGCACGATCGCAAATTGCGGCTGCAAAAGCTGCAGCTCAAGGTGGGAAAGATGGGTCAAACAGTGCCGATGACAATGAACCAGAGCGCCCTGTTCCAAAGCAGGTATGGTCTTCTATGAAAGGGATTTATGGCGGCCCGAAGGTATACTAAAATTGACCTGCTATCTTAGACAAAACGGAAGCCTCTTCGGACGACCGTGGAATCCGACGATCCAAAAGGAAAGAGGCCCAAATACGAACCGAACGGAGAGTCGGCATCCACCCCCGCGAAAGACGAAGATGAGGACGACGGTAAGTGCCGTGTGCCCTACTTGGCCGCGACAGCGAATGCAGACCTCAACGAATATAATGTATTATATTAGTGCGCGTATATGACCAAGAGGTCGAACTTGACCCAGAAATTGCGAACGCGGAGTCATGGGAAGACCTAGTCGCTGAGGTCGAAACTATCGAGCAAGGACACACAGAGTCCGAATTGGTTGTGTTTATCTTATGGAAAGACGGGAGAAGAAGTATGCATTCGTCCGTGGTTGCGAACAAAAAGTGTCCCCAAGCGGTAAGTATGCCGGAGTAACCTCTACCGGAAGGCGATGCTAAACCTGATTTCGGTTACCAGATGATATCCTTTTACGAGTCACATATCCGATTCAGAAGGCCAGAGGACGGCGACGAAGGACAAACCGCTGCTGCCGCCTCATCGGAAGAGAAGTCTGAGAACGATGAGCCACTCTTCCAAGACTTCAATGATGGCGACGACGTAGTCGAAGAGACACCAGAAGATATTGACGAGATCAGATTGGAATAATGCCAAAGAATTTTTGGAAATGCCAGATAACATAGTTTTAGGTTGGAAGCGACGCAGTCTAGTTTGTAATTTAGCAAACTGCCGGGGGTTTTGATAACTCAAGCGGTTTCACTTGGCACTTTACATGTCCTCAGTGAGTGATGTCATCGCGTAAGATATTGAGGTCAATTTACACAGGTTGTATTGAATGTAAAGGTTTCCTATCTCAGCACCAGTACCAAAAACTGATAAATTGTCTATATACATCATCCATTTGTTCATCAACAAAGTCAAAGAACGACGATCATTCGCTCTTGGGTGGGTTATTCCATGAGAGATAGCTTTCGTCACCCAATTTCCTACCGCGCCGCATCCGTTAGCTGGACAATCGATAGCGATAAAAGGAGCCGGGCATGCTCACCTGACTCTGACAACAAATACCAAGAACGCAGATAGGGCTGCCAACCCACCTACAACAAGGTATGCGATTCCAGCGAATCCACCTCTAGAGCCCAAAGGACCCAGAGTAGATACAACGAACGACTTGGTCCCATCAAACCTCTTGACCTCAAATGAATCAACAATATCAACTTGCCACACCCCACGATTTAACGCCATTTCGTCGTTCCGCCCCCAGAGTTTCCGGAACGTTGGGAACCCGGCCTTACGCATCCAGACTTGAAATCTTTCCCAAGTTTTTATGTCAGGGTAATTACTTGAGTTGTAACCATTTTTGTAGGCGGGAAATGCGCTTCGCCAGGCAGGAGGTGGGATAACATTTGTGGGAACATCAGAGGCAAGGGATGGGGTTGTAAACCATGAACTGGGGTTGTACAGCCATCTATCTTCTTCCCACGCAATGTTGCGCTCAGAGAAGATGTATGTCCCAACGGGACACGATGGGGCATCTGGAGTACTAATACAGGTAAGTGCGGAAATATCGTCTAACGAAGAATACTATGGTGAGATACATAAACTGCTTCACAAAGTCAGCGACTACAAACATACCAGAAAACATTGAATTGGCGACCAATCCGCATGGATAATACTGTGCACCCCATGTCGCATTCTTAATCACTTCAGCTCTATCCGCTACAGCTGTCCGGCAATCTGGGTTCATGTCAGCCATATTCCCTGAACCACTCCACGAGTTCTCCTGCCGGGCCCTGTCACAATTCGCATAGCGCAACCAGGAGCAGTCACCCGGAATGTCTTTGGCATCCATGTAGACCTTGCCATTAAGTTGATCCGCGGAGACGGATTTAGTGTACAGTCGGTGATTTTGATAAAAGTTCGTGAGACGCACGTAAAGGAAAACCGGAGGTGGTAACGACCACGTAAGGTTCAGTTGGAGGCTGCATTTTTTCGTCGTCGGGTCGTATTGCCATGCACTAACGTGTTGATATTTGGACCCTTGTGGCGGAGGAGCAAATGTGGGCGCAGCCAACTCTGAGCAGTCTGTATAGTCGAAAATAACTTCACCGACTTGTGATTCTGTATGATATATCCAGGCACCAATTGGAATGAAGATGAGCGCTGTCACAATCAAAGGAATTGCGACAAGTGTTGGAGTGAGAATGGGAAACCAGGCAGGAAGACGTTGTTGCTTCCATGGTTTGTCTAGAGGAGTACCTTTCATAGTCAGTTACAAACGACGTGAAGCGTTTGGATAACTTAGTGACCACCTTTCTTATTCTTTTTCTTTGGCTGGGTGCTTGGGGTTGATGACGGGTTTGACTGCGACACCGATCGGGATACAAGTTCATAGTCTTGAGATTCTGGAGGGGTTGCAAGGTGGGATGCTGCAGTATTCCTATGCCGAGATTGCGATGCCATGGTGGCCAATGTATGGTAGTTGCTTTGAACTGTTCGGCTGTGTCAAAAGGATGTCGGCATTAACGTTTGTCCACGTGCCCTGAATGACCGTCTGCTTACGTAAAGAACTCCGCAGGCCCCGTTCGTTATCAGTGAGGCAAGCATCGAACTCTTTAAAAACTGGAATTCGGAAAACAGGAAAACTTATCTACAAGAACATTGAACAGTTTGGCGCATGTATATTACCGTGCTCATCCCAACCATCTCGTTTATTGATGAAAGCTATAAGACAGTATGATGACATTTAGTTGAAGTGATTGCAACCACAATCAACAAGTTCGAATTGCTGCCACATTTACTGTGGATACCATCGATATGACAAGTATTCACCAGCATGTTAACATGATGGTTTTTCCCGATATTTAGCGGTTACAGTCACCCGGCCATGCGGTGGTCTAATCGGTTAATGGTCGGATATTCACTCAGGAGCAATTTTTGTATCTAATGACGGACCATAATTTGGGCGGCGACACTTTTCAGATATAAGTTGAAGACTGGGAGAAGTACTCCTTCGTAATCTTCTGTCTCTCTGTGCCAAGCGTCCAGAATAATCCTTCTCCTCCATAAAAGATAGAAAGCACCGTAATACTATCATTATCATCATGACTGCGGACCAAAATGTTTCCACAGTACACTACTGAAAATTTCCTGCAATCGCCGACTGCATGCGTATGCTGCTGGATATTGGAGGCGCCACTTACGATTTGATAGTAGGCTTCTTAAGGTGATCCGCACCGCTCGGCCAGGACTGGCAGCAGGAAAAGGAGATGACACCCATATGACGATCGATATACCCGTCTGGACTGAATGCCATTGGGATGGCACGAAGGTACCATCGTTTGCCATTTTGCTAGGGACTACTACGTTCGTCGTTTTTGGATCGTCAATTAGTCTTCGTTCCTTCGAAACCTTCCAGCAGACATTACCCCATCTCGACGCCTCGGTAAAGGCACAATTCTGTAACGACTTTTGAGACGATGCCTGTGAATGTCAGGGGTAGAGCTGCCGCTCATTTTCTTCAAGGTGTGTCGAGGTTGTGTCGAAACGGGTGGAGGCAATTTAAATATCACAATGGAGTAGGGCTGAGGAATTTGCGCGGATTTTAGGTCTGGACTATAACATTCTATCATGAGTACCGCAATGGACAATCATTTAGCTAGGCCATCCATCCTAACTATTGAGGGTCCAATGGTTACTTCTTGCTGTTTGGCGGACCTCCACAGTACTTCTAACCTTTCGGAAGTTTAGAACATCTACGGTATAAAATTGAACGTTTAACCAGACTTAGTCAACTTACATTCAAATATCGTAGCTGGTGTTCATTTTTGGTCATTAAGACCAGCTTAACTCTGTACCTTTTGTCTCTGGCTACTCTGCAGCTAGCTCCTGAATATTTCGGTTTGCGTTAACCACTGCGGAATTATGGACGTCGTGAAAGGCGCGGAAAACCAAAGGATTAACATGTAAAGGATTACCGACTGATTTTGAACAGTATCACCGCAGTAGTGATTTGATATTTGGTATTAAGGTGTTGAACAAGACTGATACCTGAGTGTTGGCATGGCAAGTTTTCACCGCCAACTGAAAGTGGTAGAGCTATGCTGTTAGCAGCTCGGCCATTTGTCGATGGTACAAATCTACGCTTTAAACCTGTCCGTCTCAGCCCCCTCACTTCTGATGGGTTGAACGAAAGCAACTTCGAAAATATTCGTGGAATCTTCCTGGCCGTTTTCCTTAAGAGCCGTCCGAACTGTAAGAGTCAGGTCCTCGCGTCCCTCTTCCGTACCGAGAAAGATTGCAAGCGTAAGTATGCGGTCTTGGCTGCCGCTGCGGATCCATCAGCGGATGGAAGAGTCTGAAGAGTCTTGGGAAATTGACTACGAAGGCAATGCGAAGAAAAGGAGAAAGAGCTTGTTGATTCTTGATGTTTTTGAATCGGGAAACATACGGGAAAGAGTAAGATGGGCATGAATTACTTTCGGTGGGTAGTAATGTTCTAAATCTTCTCGTCTTGGATGTGTACTCTTTTTCATAAGTTCGTTGAATTACCAGCAGTTGAGTATCGCGCAAAGAAATGGCCCTTTGTAGAGACTTTTGGGTAAGAACCATCATGCTATCATCGGGTGGAGGTAGTCATAGGCACCAGAGGGTCATATAGTGCCTACTTTACGCCTTGAATGCGAATGATACCGACACCGGACTCTGTGATTCCTCGAGGCAAGCCATTCTGTTCTGTGGCCTGGTAGAGTATGAAAAGAGGATGTGGAAGATCAGGGCGAATGCAAGTTAAGGACAGTTGTGGAGGATGGCTCTCAACCGCAATTGGCAGTTGGAGGGTTTCATATCAAATTGCGAGTTATGCGAGTTGACAAGGGCAGTCAATGCTAAAATTGACCAACATATGCACTCCATCCGGCCGTCTCCTCGAAGTGGAAAATAATACGTCCGTCATGCCGGACGGACAGAAAAAACAACGTTGGTTGTCTCCGACCGCCAGCGCGGGATGGGGTTCATTCTGCACGAAATATTTGCAAGGACTTCCTGACGGCCAACCTCGTTGAACCCCCTTTCTTTCTTCCTGCTGCGCATGTCAGCCGGCATATAGTAAGTAGTTGGCGCTGCTTGGAATCCTCCCCCCCCCCCCCCCCCCACCTTGATCGTTGTTCTGTTGTCCCAGCGATTCAACCTGGATCTCTTGTTTATCCGAAAGCTTCTGCAAAGGGGACCCCAGCCACAGGAGATCCTACCAAACACCAAACCTTATTTTGTCTATGCCTTGCAAGATCAGATCCCTTTTCCATTTTGTAGTGGTTTAGGAATTGCTTCAGGGAATCCTCGTACTTGGGAGGAGGGACTTCATTGCGCTCTGGGCCAGTCATGATTCAATTTGCAAGTTCGTTGATCCTCCGATGAACGATGTCGAACTTTACGAGTCATGAAGTGCCGTTGAAGGAAAGGTGTGGGGAATCCAAGTACTATTGCTCGTTGGCTTTCAACGAGGTTGGGGAACACCATGAAGCGAAAAAGGTGAAGCGGGCCAACGAAAGTCAAATACCGGTTTGCCGCATGTCCCTTTTCCCATTCCAGCTGCACTCTAGAATATTTGGATTTATTTGCCAATAAGGCCTGTATCCTCCTGTCCTCCTGTCAGTGGCTGTATGGCATGCTAGTCAGCGTGTAGCTCCGTCGATAGCGCTTGGCTTGCTCTTGTCGTCTGCTTGGAAACCCTTCCACAGCCGCATACAGAGGTTCTGAGCATAGCTGAGCGCTCCCTTCCAAGTGCTTCTCTACCCTGCCCTACCCAGACGTGATTTCTGATTGAAGCTATTACCCTTCTAATTCGACAAGGGAGTAAAAACGTCGTCTTGTCGAGGGATACTCCCACTACCAGGTCTCGATCATTGGCGAGCTTGAAAAAAAAAGGTGCGCGTGCAGCCTCATCATTTTGGAAAGTCTGGTACTGAAATCCTGACGAACCTGACGTTGCTTACCGCGCCAGGACTCATTAGGAGACAACCGAGGGAACGCTAAAGGATCAGTTTACCCTTCCTAGAGACAAAAGCTTGAAGTCTTTCGGCTCTTGTCGATCCCAGGAATCCCATTATGCGTGCATGCTGGAAACTGTTCTTTCTCCAACTTCAAATTAACGTTTGGCGCTGCTGTTAGAGGGAATGTGATCCTCGCGGAGAATCAATCATATCAAGGTTGCGGTGGCGGCACTTTTGGCACCAGTGTTGATCTTGCTCGATCCTTTTGCCATTTTGTTGTGAAGATGTGCCTTCATATTTCTATCTAACTCTCCAGAAGAAAGGAAAACTGGATCGTTGGTTGAGTTCCATATCGTCCGAGATGGCACCCGTGGCCGCGTTCTGGAGTGACTCGAACCTGCTAGCGCACATTTGGCCTGGCGACATCCTCCCTGTCTAATCTTCAGATCATACTGCAAAGTGATCAATCTGTCCGCATCTAGCCCGATGCGCCAATCGAGCCCTTCTTCGATGTAGCTGCCTCCATTCAAATTGTCGATCGTATGTTTGTCCATGTTTTTCATCTACCGCAGATTGCGAAGGGAATGAAATACCGGACCCTCCGGTTCCACGACGAGGGTAACTGGATTCGGGAATTAACGGTGGTGTACGAGACTGTGACCGAATTTGCAGACGCTTCCATCTGTAGTATGTTGCATCGAGCATATCACTAGCAATGACATCGTGAAACGCTGTTGCAATGTGGTGGTGAGATATTGGGTTAAGTGCGGACTTTCACGAATGGCGCACCTGAAAAGCAGGTGGAGCTGGAGCGGAAGAAAGATATAGGGACAAATAGACGAACCGTTTGAGAAGTCGATGGGTAATCTGATCTTAAATCGGTGATTGGCCTTTGAAGCCAAACTATTTTAAACACTTTGAGAATGTCCTGTGGTCAAACATAGGCGGCGCCCACACTTAATCCACATTTCCAATTGACATGTGCGATCTTAAAAACCCAAGCTGGAATCCACAACGGAGATTGAGTGCCCCCCGAAAGCAACTTCACTCAGCTTGGACCTGGACAAATTGCAGGCGAAACAATCCGCCAAATTCCTTCACGATATTGAGCCACTGAAGATCTGCTTGTGTTATGATATTACCATATAGGAATTTCGCAATAAGGAAAATGTGGAGGTGTTCTAAAGCCACCAATGGAACTTTTTCATGCAATCCTGCCGAGCTAGATGTCATTAATTAAGATGAAATCCGCACCTCAACTTACGATCGACACAAGCAGTCCCTCTCAAGGGTTTGACGAGCGGATGAGTTTCGAGATTTTTAGCCCACTCATTGACATCTTTCACGACACCCGAGACCCGTGAAAGAATGGCGGGCGTGACAAAAGTGTTTATCGATGACCTTCCTAGGAGCTGTTTGCTATGCATTAATCTAACGCTTTGTCCGAGGAGGGCAAAGAAGGGATTGCTGAAGTTGAGATTTTCGTGCTTGAGGT